TAGGCCTAAGCGTTTTTAGTTAATTGATCGGAAACCGTTTTTACCTACAAGGTCAATGTGACCTTGACCTTTGACCCCTTGACCCCAAAATCAATAGGTCATCTGCTGGTCATGACCAATCACCATACCAAGTTTGAAGTTCCTAGGCATAAGGGTTCTTAAGTTATTGATCGGAAAGCATTTTTACCTACAAGGTCAATGTGACCTTGCCCTTTAACCCCTTAACCCCAAAATCAATAGGGGTCATCTGCTGGTCATGACCAATCACCATACCAAGTTTGAAGTTCCTAGGCCTAAGGGTTCTTTAGTTATTGATCGGAAACCGTTTTTACCTAAGAGGTCAATGTGACCTTGACCTTTGACCCCTTGACCCCAAAATCAATAGGGGTCATCTACTGATCATGACCAATCACCATCTCAAGTTTGAAGTCCCTAGGCCTAAGGGTTCTTTCATTATTGATCGGAAACCGTTTTTACCTACAAGGTCAATGTGACCTTGACCTTTGACCCCTTAACCCCAAAATCAATAGGGGTCATCTGATTGGTCATAACCAATCACCATACCAAGTTTGAAGTTCCTAGGCCTTAAGGTTCTTTAGTTATTGATTGGAAACCGTTTTTACCTACAAGGTCAATGTGACCTTGACCTTTGACCCCTTGACCCCAAAATCAATAGGGGTCATCTACTGATCATGACCAATCACCATACCAAGTTTGAAGTTCCTAGGCCTTAATGTTCTTCAGTTATTGATCGGAAACCGTTTTTGCTTTCAAGGTCAATGTGACCTTGACCTTTGACCCCTTGACCCCAAAATCAATAGGGTCATCTACTGATCATGACCAATCACCATACCAAGTTTGAAGTTCCTAGGCCTTAAGGTTCTTTAGTTATTGATCGGAAACCGTTTTTGCTTACAAGGTCAATGTGACCTTGACCTTTGACCCCTTGACCCCAAAATCAATAGGGGTCATCTACTGATCATGACCAATCACCATACCAAGTTTGAAGTTCCTAGGCCTTAAGGTTCTTTAGTTATTGATCGGAAACCGTTTTTGCTTTCAAGGTCAATGTGACCTTGACCTTTGTCCCCTTGACCCCAAAATCAATAGGGGTCATCTACTGGTCATGACCAATCACCATACCAAGTTTGAAGTTCCTAGGCCTAAGGGTTCTTTAGTTATCACTCGGAAACCATTTGGTCTACGGACCGACGGACCGACAAGTGCAAAGCAATATACCCCCTTTTCTTCGAAATGGGGGCATAATTACCAAACAGGAGTCAAATTTTGTAAAAAAAGCCTTCACAGTGTTAGTCAAGCAGTAGAAATATGGTGATAAATTCTGTAAAATCAGTCATAATTGCACATAACATGTAAATTATTACCTGAATCTTGAATCTTTTTACTTTTCTTAACCAATTACTTCATGAGCATTTTGTGAAAAATGGCTGTTTTCATTGAAAAGTCTCCGGTTACAAGTTCAAATTGCTATAAAACTATCAAAAATGCTTCAATACTAATCAAACTTGGCACAAATGTTGACAGTAACTGGGCCATTGCCTTTGTAACAACATGCTCAGTCTTAAATTTCCTGTTACCATGGCAACGAGGGGACATCTCAAAATTGCTAAAAATCACTATTTTGAGTTGATTTTTTCCATCAAAATTGATTTCAAAGTGCTGCAACTTCTCAATCGATTGAGATAGCGTCAAAGGCTTTTCAGCGGCGCTGAAAAAGTGGTCACTTTTTCAAGCAACATTTCTCAAACAAAAACAAGTGTTGGGGCCTAAATAAGGCATTTTTTCACCATTTGGGACAACAAATAGGGGGGGGGGGGGGGGGGTGGGTGAAAAAGGCGTTAAAAGGCGTGTATATCAGGTAATGGGTTAAAATTTTAGTACATTTTTCTCAAGTTTTAATTTATTTAAATGTTTTGGTTCATCTGGAAGCATGCAGCTTTAAGGCTATTACAGATCCAGGTCATAAATGAATTATTCAACATATTGATGTTGTCATTAGTGTTGACCATTAATAACAAACTTTTGAGCAAAATTCAATGGTTATGACAAGCAAGGTCACTTTAAGGTTGGTAAAATTTAAATGTTTTAAGATATAGGTTGGTCAATAAGCCTTGTTTTGTCCAAAATTCAATCAAATCAAAAAAAGTTATCACAACTTAAGCAAAACCTATATGTTGAATTATTGAAATAATTAGGACTGGATCAATATACCGGTAAATTGGTTTTTATCTATTTTCCGTTTTTCAATACGGTAAGGTTATCGGGTTTTAGCTATACCGATACAAAAGGAGACATCCTTATAAATGTGTTACTTATGAACATGATGACTTTACATTAAAACTATCATATTTAATAAGACAGGGCAAAAGTTAAAAGTGTGGAATTTTTCTCTAAAGTATTAAATGATAAGAAGGTCCTCTGTAATATTCACAAGGTTGAAATGGCTAGTTCAGGTGGAACGAACATTCAATCTCCTATGTCTAAATTATTGGTAAACAAGAGGGGATCGCTCACATGAGAAAAAGGTCAAAGTTTAGCCCCTTTTCACCCCAGAAGCACAATTTGAAAACAAGGGACAGCTAAATCTGAAAAAAATTTGTGTAAAATTATTTCAAAACTGAACCAGTGGTTAAGATCTTGTTTAGATGTTGTTGTTTCTAATCTTAACTCTGGCAGCCATTTCATTAAACATTTTAGCCTGTCACTAAGTGAGAGGTGAGCTTATAAAAAGATGATAGAAAAAGAGAGGGAAAACAAACATTTGACCTTGATGGGGATTGAACTGTCTACTTCGATCCCCTGGGGCGGTGCCAATTTTGACACTTTGGGTTTTATTTCAACAAACATGGTAGACATACACTAGAAGATGTTTCATGCCAAATATCTAAGCTTTAGGTCTTTAGGATTTTCACAAGAAGATTTTTAAAGTTTTTACTATATACATGTATATTTAAGTAAAATCAATGATCCCTAGGGCAGGGTCAATTTTGACCCTAGGGCTTTTATTTGAACAAAGATTTTTTTTTAGTTTTTACTATATATAGACAACAAATAGGGGGGGGTGGGGGTGAAAAAGAGCCCGGTTTGCACTGAGCGATGCTCCCCAAAAAGGTTGTTGACAAAGGAAAGTACACCTCTTGTAGTTTCAGAGTTATGTCCCTAGACAAAGTTCAAAGTGTGAAAGTTCCAGAATTAGGCAAGGCAAAGTTACAGTTCTTTGCACTGGTCTTCTAATAAATAAGATCTATTTACCTAAAAAGATTCTTGTTGATACCTCTTCTCGTTTCCGAGTTATGTCCAGGACAAAGTTTAAATTGTAAAAAATGAACAAAGGGCAATAACTCCAAAATAAGCCAAGGCAGAGTTATGTTTCTTGTGCATTGCACATCTACCCATTAAGATCTATCTACCTGTGATATCTCTTATAGTTTTATAGTTATGTCCCAGACAAGATTTCTCTAAAAGGGTAGATAATTCAAAAATAGGGCTTAATAGAGTTATGGTTCTTTTGCACTGCACTTCTATCCAATGTATGACACCCTTTCACTACAAATGAATTTGTTAAATGTTCATTTGACAGCTTTGTTTGTTCATACCCTATATATACATGTATGTCAAATCATTTATGTGTATTTTGTTTTCTTCCAAACTTTGGGGACCAAAGTAATCAAAGCAGGGGAAGTTGTTATGTCCCATATTTGTATGCAAATTCTTTTCAGGGAATTTTCAAGTATTTGTATTTACAAATAACCCATTAGAAATATTCTTTTAAAGTATTATATTTTTACATAATTTCTTTTTTTTCTTCCAAACTTTTCATTTTAGAAACACATACTTGGGATTAAAATATTGGTGTTATAACAGATTGCCATTGAAATAAAGCTTCAAAATACTCTAGATGTCAAAACCTACTTACTTACACCTACATATCCTGGAACACTATTTTTCATTGTTTACTAATCAGCTGTTACTAAAACCATCTTAGCTGTTGGGTTAAACAAATTTTTTCAATTAATTTTTCAAAGGTCCATACAGAAAAATGATTAAGTAATTTCCTAGAGTAGGTTCTCTTTTTAAATGAAATCTGTCACCTTAGAAGTCTGTGGCTAATAAGAGCCAAGGACACACTTTTTAGGTTCAGATGACTTCTAATTTCAATAAACTTATGTTCAAACTGTAAAATAGTGTTTATTGGATAATTCCAGAAATAAAACCAGCTATTTACAGCAAAACTACTGACTCAAGCTCACTCATGCGATTCCTCCTTGTCCAGATAATATAAAACCAGAAGGCCACAGAGCTTTCTCGGCCGCAATACAACAACAAACGGCCAGCTTTCCTTCCGCATTACAACTTAAAATGGACAGAGTTTTCCTACTGCATTACATTAACATTACTAGTAATGTTAATGTAGGTTTTTCTAAAGCTATGCTAAGTAAGTATTGATTTTTAATTAATTTTGAATTAAGGTTTGTTTGATATCTGTTTTACATGTGATATTTGGGTGAATTAGATATCAGATTGTTTCTTGCAGTGTGTTTTGTTTTGTTTCACGCCTTTAAAGATGCTGATTGTATACTTTTGCAAGGCTGTATGAAAATGTCCCCTCATCCAAGCTTAAGTGATGGATGAGGGTCATTATTCAAGTATGACCATAGGCCTAAACATGTATGCATTTGTAACCCGCCTCACTGTCTTCTTTTGTCCCACCACTTGAGTTTAATGTCATGAGTTTTATGCAGAAACAAAACTGCTTTAAATTATGAGATTGTAGCGCTTCGGTGATCATGGCATGGATGATGTAATAGGGGTAGTTTATTATTGTTTTTTGGCTTTAAACTTGCGAAACCTCAATTGGCATGCTGATGTATACATGTTTAGGCCTTTGGCCTTACTTCAATAATGACGCTCATAAATCACTAAAGCTTGGATGAGGGGACATTTTCATACATTACTATACAAGTTACAAAAATGTTTACCTGCAGTTTCTGCCATAAAACACGATTGTATTTGACAACAAGTTGAAAGCAACATTTCAGAAGTTCTACAATCATACAATCCAGGTCTCTGTCTATGGGAATATAACTGAAAAAATACAACATCTATTAAATCGTAGGTGACTTTATAATCATTGTTTCTTGAATGAAATAGTTATAGTAATTCTGAAACTGATGTGGTTTTAATATTTTCTATGTGCATTTTATGGTGAACATAAGCTATTTAGACCTCTGAAATGATCAATGTCAAATAAAACTCAATATTTCAGCATGTGAAACTGGACACAAATTGTACCATATATGTATCTAAACAGGATTTCAGTTGTGAAAAATATAAATGTATCTAACTATGATTGCATTAATTTTTGTGAAAAATGCTACGCCTCTGTTAAATACAACACTAAAAAGTAGTGTAGGCAAAGAAGATTTTTTTTTCTATACAAATGAACTTTGCCATAATGAAGTTAGAGTCTAATGAATTTGGTGGTCAAGGTCATATTTCAGCCTGTCAAATGAAAGACAAGGTGCAGATGTGTTAAATGTTCTGATACAAAGGCCATAGTTTATTAATTTATTCATAATAAAAGTATTTGTACTTGATGAAAATTTAGGTATTTACTGTCTTTCATAGCTTTATTAAACTTTGAAATATGTCAGTTACAGTTATTGTTTTTCAATTAACCCTTTACCTCATATATACGCGAAAAAACGCACTTTTGACCCCCCCCTTTTTAGGCCTGAAATAGTGAAAAAATGTCCTATTTGGGCCCCAAACACATGTTTTCGTTTTAGAAATGTTGCTAAAAAAAGTGAGCACTTTTTCGGCGCCGCCCCCCATCCAAAAGATACATCAGGGGGCACATCCAGAAGGGGGATGTGCCCCCTTCTGTTTGGGGGGTTTGAAGGGGGGCGGAGTCCCCCCCTCATAGCCAAGAAAATTTTGGACTTGTGAGAGGCTTAAAATGACCCCAGATCTATGATAAGGTAACGTGTAACCAACGCTGAAAAGCCTTTGACTCTATCTCAATCCCTTGAGAAGTTGCAGCACTTTGAAATAAATTTTGATGGAAAAAATCGAGGCAAAATAGTGATTTTTGGCAATTTTGAAATGTCCCCTCGTTGCCATGGTAACAGGAAATTTAAGACTGAGCATGTCGTTACAAAGGCGATGGTCCAGTCAAAATTTGTGCCAAGTTTGATTAGTATTGAAGCATTTTTCATAGTTTCATAGCAGTTTGAACTTGTAAGAGGAGGCTTTTCAGTGAAAATGGCCATTTTTCACAATATGCTCATGGGGGAAAGGGTTAAGGACATTTTCGGGAGTTTTCATATAGACATATAGGCAAAATTAAAACTGTTCAATAGAATTTCTTTAAACTTGGCATGTTGTTAGAATATGATAACAGAAACATTTTAAACATTTTAAATATATGACCTGAAACTAAATGAAAGCTATCATTGATAAGTTATACAAGTTGGAGGGTAGCTGGAATAAAATACATATTCTATTACGTCATACCAACTGTCCGTCTCAAATGAGATGTGCGCATACCGTGACCGAGAACATTCAGTACGCATTTTGATACCGTACAGAACGGACGTGGTTCGTTTATTAGACCGAGAGTTATAATCTCTATTCCTAGATTAACGCGGTTAATCTATTTTATTTCATATTTTTTGATAAATTAGATATTGTATTTTTACAGTATCAATTTAATTTCTTTTCTTGATATATTTTGTTTATGCGACGCATAAACTTCATTTTTTTCTTTCGGCTTTGAGATTTTCATTCCATGTGCTTTTCCAGATGGCGGATGCCTCTACATCGGGAAGGAAAGTAATCAGTCAAGGAACATCTGGTTCTAACATGACTAAAGAAAAGATGTCGATAAACAAACTGAAAAATTGTTGTCGTCTAGTAAATCTGTTGCGTCCGAGGGTCGTAAAAATGAGTCTCGTGGTAAAGTGTCCACTAAGAAAAGTCAAACACCTGAGAAAATAAATGACGAAGTCATTAAAATTTTGCAAGAACTAAACACTAACGTAACAAAACAAGGTTCTAAACTTGAAAATTTATCAAAAAGGGTAGACAATTTATATGTTGTATATGATGAATATTGTTATCCTGACGACAGTTGTAATGATGGGTTTTCTGACAGTCACAGCGTTTTGTCCAATGTCAGCGAGTCTTGTGAAGATTCCCAGCCACCACGGAAGAGGGCATGTAATGAGAGTGACATATTTAGGAATTTGTATGACAAATTACAGAGTGTGGAAAAATGTGACACTGAAATTAATGATGATCTTGCTACTTTTGTAAACAATTCCTTCCGCAATGGCATTGCTGAGGATTCTTTGTCCAACATTGTAAAAGAAATTCACAGTCATTGGTGAAAACTAAGGTGAATGGTTGCATATGGCGTTTGTTGAAACCCCAATCACAGTCTGACGATGTGAAATTTCAAGCCATAAAAAATGTTGTAGTGAAAGCTGCTATAAACATTTCCAAATTGTTGGATAAAGAAGGGGAAAAATTAGATACCCAGTCAATTGAATGGGGCACAAATGCCCTTGCTTTGTTGGGGCAGTCAAACAAACTCATTAACAACAACAGAAAGGAATGCCATCGTTCGGATTTAGATCCACGATATTACCCTTTGACTTCTGCAAGTCTACCGTTTACAGAAAACCTGTTTGGTGATGATATTAACAAAAGTGTGAAGGATATCCAGGACATTAGTAAAATTGGTAGAGATGTTGGAAGAAATCCTTCATTTAGGCCGTTTGGTAGAAGACGTAGTGGTCGGCCGGGCATGTTTTCTCGTGGTACTGGCAGAGGTTATTTTAGGCCAGGTCATGGTTCTTCAGTCGTTTCACCACCAAAAAACTCCCGTGTGGGGTACATGAACAAGTAAATCAGGTTAGTAATATTTTTCAGGCAGGTAGATTGAAATTATTTGAAGAAAATTGGAGAAAATTGACAAGTGATGAAAATATATTAGACATAGTTAAGCATTGTTATATTGAATTTTTAGAAGGGCATGATCCTGTCAATTATGTATGTACAAGGAATAATTTCAGTGAAAATGAAAGTAAAATTATTGATCAAGAAATAAATAAAATGATTGATATGAAAGTTTTGATTGAAGTTGATCATCATGAAAATGAATTTATTTCTCCAATTTTCTTAGTCAAAAAGAAGAATGACGAGTTTAGAATGATATTAAATCTTAAATTATTAAATGAGAGTATTGTTTATCATGACATTTTAAAATGGAGACATTTGAGTCTGCCCTTAAACTAGTAAAACCTAATTGTTTCTTTGCAAGTGTAGACTTAAGACATGCATATAATTCAGTTCCCATAGCTACGGAACAACAAGTTAAGTTAAGATTTCAAAAAGATGGGAAATTTTTTCAATATGTATGCCTGCCTAATGGTATTTCTTGTGCCCCAAGAATTTTTACAAAGTTGATGAAGCCAGTTTATGCATCACTTGGCATGCTGGGACATGTTAATTCAGGGTTTATTGATGATTCTCTGCTTCTTGGAGATACATACGATGAATGTCATCTGAATATTACAGATACAGTTAATTTGATGGGGAAATTAGGATTTATTGTTCATCCCCAGAAATCTATTCTTATCCCAACTAATAAAATTACATTTTTGGGAAATGATATTGATTCCATCAATATGATTGTTACTTTACCGTTAGATAAAGTTCAAACAGTTGTCCAAGAATGCAAAATGTTGTATAGACAGAAAAAGGAAAAAATTCAGCAAGTTGCGAGGGTTATAGGCCTTATGATTTCTACCTTTTCAGCTGTAGAAAATGGTCCTTTGTTTTATAGACAAATTGAGAATGAAAAAATTTTGGCATTAGTTTTATTAATAATAATAATAATTTAAAGCAAAATAGAGGGAATTACAATGCATATATGATTATATCAGATGAAATGAAGGGAGAACTTAAGTGGTGGATTGACAATCTAGCCACCAAAAAAAGACATATTAGTCACGGCAATCCAGATTTGACTATTACAACGGATGCAAGTTAAGTTGGCTGGGCAAGTATTTGTAATGGAACAAGAGCCATGTCAACATGGCCATCCCCCGCCAAATGTGTTTGCTCATTGGAAGAATGTATATGTAGTTGAGCAGATAATTCAATTTTAAGAGGTCTTTTGGTAATGAAAACTGATGGCTGAAATGATTACAGATTTGAGACCTATATGAATACTGATGGCTGAAAATAATAATGGGCAATAACTGAAAAAATAATGCAGGGTAGGTTATCATTCTTGTGTGCTGCATCCCTCCTTAGTAAAATCTATCCACCTATGAAGTTTCAAGTTGATACCTCAAATACTTTTTGAGATAAGCTCTGGACAATATAGTATGAAAAAGAACAAAGGGCAATTACTCAAATATTTTATAGGGAAGAGTTATCATTCTTGTGCACAGCATTCGTCCTAAATAAGATCTATCCACCTATGACATTTCATGTTGACATCTCAAACACTTTTTGAGTTATCCTCCACTTAGGTGAAAAATTAAGTATGAAAAATAACAAAGGGCAATAACTCAAAAATTATGAAAGGTAGAGTTATCATTCTTGTGCACTGCACATCTCCTGAGTGAGATCTATGCACCTATGAAATTTCATGTTAATATCTCAAAGGCTTTTTGAGTTATGCTCTGGACAAAAATTAATTTTGAAAAATAACAAAGGGCAATAACTCAAAAATTATGCAGGGTTGAGTTATTATTCTTATGCACTGCACTCCTCGTCAATGAGATCCATCCACCTATGAAGTTTCAAGATGATACCTCAAATACTTTTTGAGATAAGCTCCGGACAAAATAATATGAAAAAGAACAAAGGGAAATAACTCAAAAATTATATAGCGAAGAGTTACCATTCTTGCACACAGCATTCCTCCTCAATAAGATCTATCCACCTAATGACATTTCATGTTGACATCTCAAACACTTTTTGAGTTATCCTCCACTCAGGTGAACTAGAACTCCGCGAGTCGGATGTGTCACCTTGTGAACAATATAGTTTAGGAGAAATGGCCAGGA